TTTTTTTTTGCCATAATTTATTTAAAAAAAAATAAATATCTGCTAAATTTATTTTCATTTATTTTAAATAAGTAAGTTTTTTAAATTAGTGTTTTAAATAATTGTAATTTTTTTTTTATTTTTAAAAATTGTCTTAAAATTTTTTAGACAATTTTTTAAAAGTTCATTTAAATTTTAAATTATTTTAAAATATAATTTTTTTATGAAAATTAAGTTACCCGACATTTAAAAATTTTTAAGATTTTTTTTTCATTAAAAAAATCAATATAAAAAAATAATAAAAAAATTTCATTTGTAAAAAACTTTAAAAACTGTAAGTGCAATTTTTAAAAAATATTTTTTTGTTCTAATTTAATTATTATAAAAAAAATTAAAAAATAAAAAATGTCGGCCAACTTTAGTATCATGATTTTTTTTTAATTATCGGTTTAGAATTTTTAAATTAATTTAATTATTAATTAAATTTTTTTTTTTAAATTCAATATTTTAATGAGGAAACAATATTGTCCTATTAAATGATTCAAACTTTTATCTTCCGACCTGACAAACTTATATTATCTTTTTTTATCAGTAACATCCGATTTAAAGAAAGAGAAATCGGTTGGAATAAATTATACCTAGAATAATTTTTTTAGTGTCATTTATTTTATTTATATTATTAAAAAAGAAATAATTTTTATTACAATATTTTTATTAATTAGTAATTTTTTATTAGTATTTTTAGTAATTTTTATTACAAAAAAATTTTTTTTTCAATATCAATACTGTTAAGGTAAAAAAAAAACTAATTTAATTTTTTTTTTTGTGAAAAAAAAAATTTTTTAGACCACTTAAAAAAATTTTATTTTTTTAACTTTACGTCAAGATTTTATTAATTTTATATAAAATTTTAAATTCAATAATTTTTCAAATTTTAAATATTTATTATCAAAAGTTGAAAATTTTTGCTAAGCAGAAAATTAAAAAAAATTTTTTATTTTTTAATTTTTCTGTAAATTTTCACTCTTTTAAAATTCTTAAGTTTATTTTAGCAAAATAAAATTTTTTCATTCGCTTTTTTTGATCTATTGTAAAAAAATTTTTTAATAAAAAAAAAAAATAAACGATTGTTATATCGTCTGAAATTAAAACAACCAAAATTTTTTATTAAAATTAAAATTTTTCAATAAATTATTTTAAAATTCTTCAATAAAATTTTTTTTTTTTTAATTTTTGGTAAATATTTACAAGGGTCAACTATTTTAATTTTCATTTTTTTAAACGAAATTTCTATTTGATTTTATTGATATTTTTTTTTTTTTTTGAAAAATACATAAAATAATTAACAATTTAAACCAAAAAAAAATTATCACAATTTTAAAAATTTCTAAGTTTTTTTGTGTACTTTAAAAAAAATATATATATCAAAAAGATAAAATTAGAAATTTTATCCAAAAACATGAGCCAAAATTTTTTCCAACTTTTGAAGGCAAAAAAGTTATCTAAATCTTAATTTTTTTCTTTCACATTTTTTATCATAAATGTGCTGTAAAAATAAGCAGAATAAAAAAAAATTTTTTAATTTTAATTATAGCCCAAAATAGGGTTGACCCCACTTGTAAATAATTACCGAATTTTTTTCTTAATTTTTTTTTTTTTTAATATTTTAAAATATATTTTTTAAAAAAAATTTTTCCAAACTTAATTGTTTATAAAATTCAAAAATATTAAAGATTTTTATTAATAAAAAATTTATTAAATAATTTTGGGATAATTTTTCTTTTAAAAAATCTCCAAAAAAAAATTTTTCTCATAACCAGTAGTGCCTTATAATAAAAATTCTCCAATAAATAATAACAATAAAATTTTTTTAATTGCTCTAAACAATAATTATATTATTAAAAATACATTTTTTTATTCTCAGCTGACATTCACGTGTTTTATAACTTCCTGTTGATTGTTATGAATAATTCATTATTAACAGTGATCTCTGACACTCAGTTGTATTTATATTTATAAAAACTTCTTTATTATTAAATATTGTTTTTTTAAAATAACTCTGCACGAGTTTTAAACTTTTTAGACGCAACAAATGATCTAATCGGCTCAAGACAATAAAAACAATTTTTTTCTTCTATTAAATTCGCAGTGATAATAATTTAATGTAAGATTATAAAATAATTCTTGATAAAAACTTTGTTTACTTTAATTTAATATTAACAACAAATCTTAATAAATTTTTTTATCAGTTTAATTATTATTAATGTTACAAATAAAATAAGTTTTATTTGCCAGGTAGGTGGGAAGAAAATAAAGGAGATAAATTGAATGATGAGTCCAAATAAATACAAAAATAATTCAAACTCATCAATGGCGTCTAACGGATACTCAGCGACTTCCAAGCAAACCAAGGGCTTCAATCCACCACCTTGTGAGTCGGTAAACTGTATGTGTGTCTAGATTAGTTTTTTTTTTATTATTTTATTTATTAATTTAAATATTTTTAGTAGACTTTATTTTTTGAATCATTCATAAGGGATCCGATGATTAATGATTTTTTTACACAGAAACTCTATTATAGATATTAATATAAAATTCAGCTGAACAAATACACTCTTGAATAACACTAAAAATATCTAAATTTATTTTTTTAATATTTTTTATATGAATAAACAACGGGAGAACGGAGCTCTGACGAAACGGTGGTATAAAGCTCACGTACATGATAACTTGATAACGGCTCATCTAAAACACTAAAACCAAAATTATTTACCTTCAATATATAAGTAGTTATTGCACCAGCTACGGAGATTAATATTTATTGATAAATAACAAAGTGGCGGACGATTTAAAAAAAAAAAACTGAAAATTGAGGCTTTTTTCACAGTTTTTAGTCCTAAAAAAATAGTAAAAATAAAAATTTTGATTTGGTTGTAGCTGATGCAATAGCTACTACTATGCAGAATATGTCGTTTAAATTTCTTTAAGATCGGGTCAGTGCTTCCGGAGATATCATGTACGTCAACCAGAAAAACATACTTCTGAGATAAACGCGCTTAAAGTTTTTTTAATTAAAAAAAACAAAATCTTACCTAAAGTCAATCAGCGACGCCGGGACCATTCAAAATTCCCTTCAGCCTTTTCAAAAATTTGAATTTCTTCCACTCGAACATCCACATAAACATCGTTAAATAATCTAGCTACAGTGGTCCGATCACTTAGAAATTTTAACACAATACTTTTAGATATATGTACTTTCGAAAAATGTAAAAAAAAAATTTTTTTTGAAAGTTACAAACCAGAATTACCCTTTAGGTTCTTCGAAAGTGTAATGTGTTCTTAGACGATTATTTCATCCTTCTTTAATCGCCTAAAGAATAATATTTTTAAGCAAAAAATACTTTACCAAAACAAATCCGAAAATTTTTATAACTGGGCCCATAACCTTTTAAAAAAATTCAAATTTTTAAGCTTAAAATTTTCCTCAAACTTTTCAGTAATGCTTTCAGTTTGTTTTCAATTTTTATCAGAGAATTACAATTTCCTATATAAGTTATTTCCTGCATTAGTAAAAAATCAAAAAAAAAATTTTTTTTCAAAGTTACAAACCAGAATGATCCCTTAACTCAGAAGTTAATACATCTATGTATTTATATTTCTTATAACCGAGCTTTCTACTATAACTCGCACAACTCTTATTGGATCTCCATACTTGTTTTTTGAAGGATTTCTAAGGTTTTTGAATGCGCATGCTAGTTTTTAAATAAAAAATCATTTGTTCGCTTAGCTGTAGAGTAATTAATAAATTTATTAATTGATTATTTGATTGAGAATTTTTTGTTGTTTAGCGATGCCATGGTTCGGCATGGATATCGGTGGTACCCTTTGCAAACTGGTGTACTTTGAGCCAAAAGATATCACGAGGGACGAAGCCGATGCAGAAGTTGAAACTTTAAAAAATATTAGGAGATATTTGACGAAAAATTCAGCCTACGGGAAAACTGGACACCGAGATACTCATCTTCAGGTAAATATTTTGTTTTATAATTTAATATAATTATATCGCGTAATAAATGAAAAGAGCTAAAAGATTAAAAAAGATAGAAATCAAATAGTTAAGGCATATAATTACATATTTTATAAAATTATATTTAAATTTCATATGAAAAGCTTATGAAACATTAAGAAGGTACAAAAATTCAGGTCTCAATCTTTCCAATAATATTAAATTTAATTTCATAAACTCAATTTATCATATTAATACGCCAAAAAAAATTTTCCTTAGTCTCTTAACTATATAGATATTTTAAAATATTTAAACACTTATTAAATTAAATTAAACATTAAATTTTTTAGAGTCATATTTGATATTATTTTGTATCTTTAGATATAATAATGAATTTTGCATGAAAAATTATATATAAATTTCATATTAAATTAAATTAAACATTTAAAAGTTCCCGGGCTTAGCAAAGTTCTTTAAATTAACTTCTCTGTAAGATGGCGTTGCGCACCGGATAGAGAACTACGTCACGCTCCCGCCAAAATTCAAATTTAAAAAATAATTTCTAATTAAAAACCTTTCTAATGACACTAAATTTAATTCAAAAACTTATTTTATTATATTAATGATAGAAAGAGTGACTCAATAAGTAATAAATATTTTTGTATATATCACTAGGCATTAAGCCTATCTCTTTTTCCCTACCTTATGTACAGACAATCATTTTATCTCTATGGGGATTATATGTAGTTATTTTTACGACTATGTATGTAATTTTGGGAAGTAAATAAATAAATAAATAAATAAAAATAATACTTTGGAGACATAATTTTCCTAATAATCTATTTTTTAAATATGTATTTGAACAACGCGCTTACAAGTTTATAACTGTACCATATAAGTTTTTAGAGTAAGACACAGTATTGTATTTTGTATATGTAGCAGCATTGGGGCTACCCAATCACTACTTTTTTGTTATTTTTTTTCCAAAAAAAACAAAAGAAATATACAATTATTTTTCTAGATGGACAACGTTGAAATCCGCGGCAGAAGAGGAACCCTTCACTTCATAAGATTTCCCACCAGTGAAATGGGAAATTTTTTAGCACTGGCGAAGTCTAAGGGTATGGCGAACTTAGTGACCACAGTGTGCGCGACAGGAGGAGGTGCTTTCAAATTCGAGGACAATTTCAAGCGAGAGGTGAATATGAGCCTCGCTAAATTCGACGAATTGCACAGTTTAATCCGAGGGATGCTCTACATCGAGACGACGAATCCTCACGAGTGCTACTACTGGGCAGATCCTACTGATGACACACTTTGCCATAAAGTTCCTTTTGATTTTTCCGAGCCTTATCCCTTTATAGTGAGTTTCTCTGTAATTAATTCAATAATTAATCAAATCAATCATTAACACTTCTGATAAACTTCCAGCTGGTAAATATTGGATCCGGAGTCAGCATACTAGCGGTGTACGGCCCCGACAACTTTAAAAGAATATCCGGCACCAGTTTAGGAGGTGGTACATTTTTAGGACTCTGTTGTTTGCTAACTGGCTGCAATACTTTTGAAGAAGCCATTGAATTGGCCACAGGAGGCGACAACACTCGGGTGGATAAGTTGGTTAAGGATATTTACGGTGGTGATTATGGTCCTTTCTGTCTTCCGGGTGATCTGGTCGCTAGCAGGTATTTTTTCTTTATTTTCCTCTCCTGGAATTTATTGCTTTTTTTTTTAGGAGACGAAGTTCAAGTTTAAATAATTGTTAAGACACTGAAAAATAAAAAAAAAAATTATCAATCATGCTCTACCGATTGAACTACTCAAGATTTAGTATTTAACTTTACAAATTAAGTGTAGGTAGGGTAAATGCACCAATTATTGACCGATTAAGGTTTTCTTTTTCTGTACTAAGCTATAAAAAATCTATTAACCTACTAAAAACAATTTGTAATGGATTTTATTAAAGTTAAATACTTAATTAATAATAATTAATAACTATTTATAATAAAAATTAACAAAATTATATTAATTTTGTTATTTGAATCTTGAAATACTAAAATCACCAATTATTAACACTGAAAAAAAAGTTTTTTTCCTTCTAGAAAACTTTTTCCTGTGGTTAAAAAAAAAGTATTCCTAAAATAAGAATACCAAAGTTTACTATCCATAGGAATAAGTTTACTGGATATAAAAAAACTTGGTATTCTCATTATTAAAATACTACAATCAATATGGCCGACTTAACCTCGCTTGGTCGACACGAATCTTTATAGGATAGATAATTATCCGAACAAAAACAGTTTCACTGTAAAAAAAATCGCGCCCAGTCCACGTTCATAAGACTATTAAGAAAAAAAAATTAGTTTTTTTCTTTACAAAAAGATATAAAATAATAAAATTAAAAAATCCAAGTAACCGATATGATTGTTTATGATTTTCGGAAATTAAAAAAAATTTTGTTGTAAATTTAAAAATTAAAAAAGCAATTTTGGAACGTATTTAGTGTGCGCGGTTGCATAATATTTTACTTTTAATTATATTCGTAAAATCTATTTACTAGGACTTAAAAAAAAT